CGGGGGGTCGCAATGCCGCCGCGTCGCGCGTGCGTGGCCCCCATTTCTCCGCTGTTCGCTCCTTTCCTCGTCCAGATCTTAAGGTGGGCTTTTCTGCTGCAGGCCAAGGGATGGGACGAGGGGGATCCAGGAGCCATCACCGTCGAGGTCGTACGGACGGCTTCTGCTTCAGCTGCTGCTCCTGCCGCCGTTGGGAGGCGGCTTTTGAGGCGGGAGCGGCGTTAGCGACTTCGCTATTCTGAGCTGTCGCGGGAGCGGCGCTGTTTAAGCTTATGCGGCCGGCATTTGTGAGGAGAGATTGCGTCGTAATGTCGAACGTAATAGTACGAATGAAAGGGTTTCCCGGCAGTGTTTGTACTCTTTAAACTTTTCAACGCTCCCGGGTGTGGTTGCTCGCTTTCAGCGAGGGCTAGCACGGACCGATCGAGCCGCCAATGGCGTCGAAATGCGCCTTGGTTAAGACCTCGCCAATTACTGCCCAAGCCAGAATGCTGAGGCCCAGGCGGGCCCCTTGGGGCGTTTGGGCTCGAACGCGGCTATGGTCCTCACTGGTACAGTATGATCACATCGCATGCCGTAGTTGCAATGTTAGTACAGGGCGTTTGCCACGTCCGGATAGTGTGCTAGCGATGCGTTACATTCCCAGAACCCGGGGAAACCGGGCGGCGTTCACCGTAGAAGCTCAAATTAGTAGAGAGGTTTGCCGGTGAGCCCCTTAGGTGACAAAAGCCAGTCTTATTACCCTCCCCTCCACACGGAGCAGCCTCCCTGGGCTTACCTTTCGCTTATCGCCTTTTACACCGCGTTCCGGAAAGTGCCGTGGTGCGCAAACGGAATCTTTACGAAATTGTTGAAAACAGTATGAACAGCGACGCCGATTTCGAGATCCTGCAGCATGGCGGCAACCTCTGGTTCTTCGACGGCCGTTTTTACAGCACCAGCACTTTAACGCCAGCGTTGCCTCCAGCAACGCTTTGACTTGCTGGGGAGCCACGGTGCGGGTGAAACGGGATGCCATCTTTGGCTTAACGATTTAAAATATCAAGATGTTTCAATGGTTTGACAGTTGGAGCGGAACAGGACGGCCTTCATGCTTCGAGGCAACGGGAAGTTAAAATAAGAGCCGGCGGGTCCGCGTTCCGGACGCGTCTCCTGCGCATACAACCATCACCGCGTTTGGCGGGACGCGTCCTGGATAAACATTACGAGCTGAGCGTCGTATTTGCAAGTGAGCCACATCCGGCAAATGTAAGGAGGCCCAGAAGTTCGCTCGGCAAGGGTGGCTTGAAGGACAAAGCCGTATCTATTGGTAGGGTTGCTAGGCGTTGGTTGGCTAGCCCTTACAAACAGGGCGTACTTTTCTGGGCATGTTTCAGGGGAGCGAGCACAATTGCCCATAGTTTCCGTCATTCCGCCCGTAGTGCTCCACGCAGATCTGGAATCCCCAGTGGGGCATCCCCGGCCGGAAGAACAATCCAGGCCGGGACCGCTGGCATAGGCAGCTGATACGTCTTTGGTTGTTGTTGCGGCTTGTGTGGTAGGCCTGGTCGGAAAGATCGCCAATCCTCCTCCCCGTGTCTCGCTTCGAGTCAGGAATACAAACGGGCAGCGGGTGGCTAGCGGTATCCTCGGCCACGCACTCTCCTTCCCCACGCGCCCGGACGTGGGCATTACTGTCGCCAGTCGCGGCGCGCCTCGCTGGCGTGCGTGCTTGCCGTCTTGCGCCGTCGGTTGGCTCGCCGGCAGCTGGACCGGCGGCAGTTTCCTTGTCGACGAGCGTGGAGCCCTCGAAGGCACAGGGAGAACTCTTGGGGGATAGTGCGTTGCTTGAAGGAGTTTTGCTCCTCCTTGCCCTCCCCGTTGCCCGCGCTCTCTTGCACGCATGGTCGACGTCATGGCTCGTATCGCCTCGTGGTCACGGCCGCTTGACACCTGGCTCTCGGCTCCGACTGTCCTGCGCCGCCAGTTGGCCGGAATGCCCCGCCGGTAGGCTCGACCTTGTGGGCGACGGCGATGGAAGAGAGGGTGTGTTGGTAGCGGCACTGGCCTTACGTACGAGCGTGCGGGAGGAGGTACTGGAAGAAATAGGGCCGGCCACGGAACGAGGTTTCCGCAAGTCGCTAGCGTCAGCGGCCCGGTGTATATCTGTGGCTCGTGTGGGAACAAGGAAGCTGTTAGAAGCGCGACCGGACAAAGGATAATGACCGGGCTCTCTTAGTGTTAAAAACGAACCTTAGCTTGAGCCCGCCTTATTCCCGGCTGCTTCGTCGACGAACCGTTGGAGGCAGCAGTAGAAATGGTTGTTAAGTGAAGTATGGTCCTCGGCTGTCATGGGTGTCGGTTGCAAGTCGTCCAGTCTGACCTTGTTCCCTCGCAGTGTCCGCCAGTTTTGGTATAGCCAGAGGTTTTGTAAGGGGAACAAGTGCGGGTGAATGTTGAACGCCCGTCCGCAGTCGTCGCCCAATTCGATGACCAGTAGCCTTGTCATTTTGTTACATTTTTTTGCCCAAGGGGAGTCGCAATCTTGTTTGCTGCGGTATGCCTGGCGACGAAAGGCGGCGGGGGAAGTGCGTAATCGGTGGGATCCGAATCGGGGCCCATTAAAGGCACGGGCTGTATTTTGATGCCCAGCCACCCCGGGCGCACTGTGGAGAGAGGATTAGTCATACTGCGCACGGGCCTACAAATTTCCTACCTTTACATATCGTGACCACCGGGACATGGGCCTTCGTCGTTTTTAACCTGGAAGCGCGCCGCTTACGATTGGCTGACAAGCTCCAGAAGGCTCCCCGCGCGATGTAACAGGGACAATTGCCCGACCACCAGCAGGATTAGGCGACGCAAGGTGACTCCCTCGGATGTGGGTGGCCCAGGCGTCCCCCCGGCAAGGGTGCACGTTGCCCACAAAAAAACCGGCAGTCCCAGCCCTAAAGCCGCTTGGGTGGAACCGCCATTTTTTTTTGTGGTGGACGTGGGATGGTTTGAGGAATGGACAAGCCGTCATGGGTAGGGCTGGCAGACCTTGGTTGACCAGCCCCTCCTTTCGCAGTCGAAGTAGTTACAACTGGGACCTTTTGTTTTGCGGCAGGGCTGGCCCACGTCTTCGATTGGCAGCCAAAAGCATGTGGTTCTGTTGAAAAGTGGGTCGAGGATAAGATAAGATATGAATGGGGGCCCATTTGATTGTTCCAGCAGCCTAAAACTTGGAGTGCTCCAACCGACCCGAAAAAAAATGCGGGTTCGCTCGACCTCCACTTAACCTGCCTGCGCGATATCCGTATCGTGCTTTCTCGCGCCCAGCACAACGATATTTTCCCGCTCCACCGCTCCACCGCTCCACCCCTACCGATGGCAAATGTCGTGGAACGAGGCGGACAGGAGCACTGTCTGCGGTGTCGGATAACGGGAAGGAAAAGGCTGTGTTGAGCCCTAATGGAGATTTGTGGTCGGCTGTTAACGTAAGGCTGCTGTCACGGCAGCAGGAGGGAGTCATTAAATTAGATAAGAGATTAGATAGCGAGGGGCCCACCTGCGTGGGTCCCTACCCTTATCACGGCCCGATAAGGGCCCACAGGGAATTGGGCTTATCCCAATTCCTCGTGTGCCCGGCCTCCGGCCGTGATTCCTTGAATCTGGACATCTCTCTCTCGCTATCAATTGAACCCTTCCCCTGTGACGCAGTTACAGCTGCGGATACTGCCGTTGTCCGTCTTTTGCTGATTTGGTTTGCAGCCATGCCCGGGATATGCCTTCGACGTAATGCCTCTTCGCGCCGAAGTCCTCTCGCTCGCGCACCTCCCGAGTCCGAGTCCGAGTCTCAAGGTCGACAGCCTCCGGAGCTGGCACCTTATTGTTGACCCCCAGCTGCCAGCATCCGCACGCGCGCGCTTTCCTTGCCGGAGCCAATATACTGACGCCCAAGACTTGCTGGTACCTGTCAGAAAACACTGTCTCTAGTCATCCATGAAAAATGGGAAGAATGCCTTGTTCTCTCCTCTCCTCTGTCCTTCGAAAAGGATGATTGTTCTTGTTGATATACACAAAGTATGTGGTCTGTGCACCGGGGTGCCCATGTTCATGCTCCACCTGGAATCTTCTAGATCCTTCCACATCGTACCATCGAGTACCTTCGTATCTGACACACCCCCCCAGGATGTGACGATAGGCACTTCCTGCTGGTTCATGTCTTTAATCCAGCGTGGCTTCGCCTCCACAGATCAAGTCTTCGTGTCTCTCCATCTCTTTTTGTGTTATCTTCAACATTTGCCGCTGCTGGATTCTTTCGCTCACGTCCACAAGTCCGAGTTGCTCCTTGAATGCCGTAAACTGTTGAGCAGGCAGGGCTTTGGTGAGACCGTCGGCAATCATATCCTTTGTTGGAGTGTACTTGACTCGGATTCGTCCTTGGACAGCCTCTTGTCTAAGCCAATGATTGTGAATGTCGACATGGCGAAGCTTGGTCTGCAGAGTGATGATGTCGGCATGGACAAGTCGGATCGTCTGTTGGTTGTCGCATTGGATCACGATTCGTGATTCATCCAGGGTCACTCCAAGTTCTTTGATCAGTCTGGAGATGAACATGGCTTCCTTGGTAGCTTGAGCAAGTGCCAGCAACTCCGCTTCGGTTGTCGAAGTAGTCACTGTATCTTGCTTGTTGGCTCGCCAGCCAATGACTCCTCCAAACAGCTTCATCACATATGCTTGAGAGCTCTTGCGGTCGATAGTGTTGTCAGCAAACGAGGCGTCACTTGCGACGTCGAACGTATCTTCTCCTCCAAATTGGAGAGCAAGAGTCTTGGTGCCGCATAGATAGTTGAGGACTTGGTCTGCTGCCGCATGATATGTGTCGCTTGGGTTCGTGAGGAATCGAGCAAGTCGTGATGTGGCGAAGGCAATGTCGGGCCGGGTGATGACTGCTGCATAAAGGGTGGAGCCAATCTTGCGTTGGTATCGGTTGATCGAGCTTGCGGATGCTCTTCCTGGATTAGGAAGTAGTTCTTCGGTCGTCATTGGTGTCGTCGGAAACCTTCCATTGCGGTCAGAAAGTCGAGCAATTTTGTCGATGTAGTCTGACTGGTATAGCCGAATCAAACGACGGTCTCGATCGCGCAAGACTTGGATCCCGAGGAACCATTGCAGCTCATTCCCTCCTGTCAGTTGATATGTCTGCTTCAGTTGCTGGATGATCTTGTCGACCACTGCCTTCTTCTTCTTTTGATACGCCACGACAATGTCATCGACATAGAAGAAAATCAGGATTCCATCTTTGCTGAAGCAACATGGTTCGTGAGGTATGGGGCTAAATCCCAAGGAAGTGAGGGTCGATGTTAGTTCTCGTTGCCATAGTAGTGGCGAGGCTCGAAGTCCATAGAGCGCCTTGAGTAAGTCAGAGTACCCCCTGTCGGACCACCCCCCTGTCGGACCACTCAATTTTTGCCCGATCCGAATAGCAACACCCCCTTTCAACCCCAAATTCACGGCGTTTTCAGCCTACAACGATACAATCCTGTGCCTCCTCTTGTTCAGATTCTTCCGCTGGTTCTGATGATATACTTTCCGCAGTTTGAACTTCTTCCCTTCGCATGTAAATCTGCCGCCCAGATAGGAAGGTCTCGTTGGGATCCGGCACCACCTTTTTCCTTTTCCGGGGGCGGGCAGCCTCCAATTGTGCCTCTAAAAAGCTGATTTTTTGCTGATAATCAGCTATTTCGAGGTCTTTTAGCGTGAACCCCTTGCGGACTTTCCGGAGGAAAAGCCGCTTGGTGGGGGTAGCCTGGATTGAAGCAGTGAAATCCTCCATTTGGGCAGCCAACTCCCGGCTTTTGGTGGGAGTTTTCCAAGCCCTCTGGCAGGCAACAGGGACCTTCCTAGGGGTTTCCGGCACCCTTTGTTGCCTGGGACCAGTTGCGGAGGTCGCTGGAGACCCGTTGTTGAAATTCTCGAGCAAAAGGCGGCTCATCAAAGGTTTGCTGATACGTACCGGCCATAAGCCCGATGCCGCCCACCCGGCCTTGATATTTGCCGAAGTTATCCCTTTCTCTCGTGCGGCCTTGTAATGCGTAAGGAACAGGCGCTTTCCTACAACTGTAGAACTGCAGAACTGGGCATGGGCTTCGATTCCTTGCCGGTAGGCCCGCTTAAGAGGGGAAAAAACTCCCAGGTCGAGTGGTTGCAATACGTGGGAGGAATGGGCGGGCAGATATAAAAGGTAAACGTTGTTCTGGAAGCACAGATACTGGAAGGCTTTTGTTACATGGGATCCGTGGCCGTCTAGGATTAACAGACGTGGTTGAGGGGGGTCCGGCCGGGTGCCCGGAAGGTAGATCTTTTGCAGCCATTCTAGGCCCGTGCGGTCCGTAGTCCAGCCGTTATCTGTTGCGGTGAACTCCCAGTCGTCGAAAGAGCCCTCCCCGTTAGGAAACCACTGATCTTGCACGTGTTTTCCTTTAAAAATGATCAAAGGACGTAACCGGTCCCCTTCGGCCGATATGCACTCGATAAACGAGGTCCAAGTGCGTGATCCCGGCTCTTTTCTATGCAAAGAACGAGTGCCAACGAGGCCTAAGGTAAGGCCATTACCCGTGCGGCCCTCCTGCAGGCCGCCCTCGTCGACGTTATGCCTATATTTAGGCGGGATCTTGGCGATCTCCGGCACGGTTAGCCGGGGCCACCAACCTCGCACTACCTCCGTTGTTGCGCCGTTAACCCTCGCGTTTTCCATACGCCGGGCACGCTGGACTTCTATATGAGGGTTCCGACGTAAAAAAGCCCGCGTCCAGTGCTTTCCTAAGGGCCGGGAGTCGCCCGTAGTACGGAGAATTTCCGTAGCAAAAAGCGCAACTCTCCGTGGGTCGGTGGGAGCCCCAGGGCGGCCTGTACAGCAACCCAGTTGGCTAGGTGCGTTTCCTCCTCTTTGAATAACCTCTGATGCTTTTCCTGACAGGCCTGGGCGTCCTGGGCGCCGTGATATCTGCTTCGGAAGGTAGAGTAGGGTATCCCTTGTGCGGCGGCGGCCGCCCGGATTGATAGGCCGCCATCGACCAAACGGCAGGCCTCGGCGATCTGGGTTTCGGTATATTGCTTCTCCATCCTTTTGGCTGTAAAATGCAGCAAAAAGCAAAAGAAACGGATGCGTTTTGGTCGAGATATACGGGAGTAGCGGTGAGGGGTCGTGCCGGGCCGGGGTCGGAAAAATGTGGTCCGACAGGGGGTACTCTGACTTACTGTCACGGCAGGTAGGGTGGCTGCAAAGAGTGGCCAAAAGAGAGATGTATTGGAAGGAATCTAAGCCGGAGGCCCTGTGCACGAGGTGCACTCTATCTACTGCGGGGTGGTCACGTGCCCTGGGCACGTGATTTGACTGGACCCCCCAGATGCCGTAACAACTACTACTACTACTACTACTACTACTACTACTACTTTATGACATGAGGTCACTATTACAGCCATCTCATTGTAGCTGCCGAAAAACGAAGATAGCGATATTGTACTTCTCAAAGTAGAATGACATTTGCTATCGGCTACCGCTACCGGTAACGACAAAGTTGTTTACAGATCATTGTTTGATTGATTGGGGTTCGATTGATGCGCGGCATAGCGGGCATGTGTTGTGGCTCTGGAACCATTTGAAAGCGGCTGTTTCGTGAAGCCAGTGTTTACACCGCAGTTCCGTGATGCGCTCGCCTTGATACGGTGTCTCTAGGCAGATTGCGCATATCCCGTCATATTCACCAATTATAGCCGCATCTAGCGTCTTGTGCTGTAGCCTATGTAGCGCTTCCTGGGACGCCGGCTGGGACGCCGGCTGCGCGTCCAGGTTGGCTTCGCCCGAGTACTCTACGAACAGCGAGCCAGGGATATCCGGCGCACCTCTAGCAATTTATATGTCAGTATTTGAGACAACAGTCTTGGAATACATTAAACAAAGCCGGAAGCGGGTACTAGAAAAATGAAAAAGCATACGGAAGTTGCTGGATTATTACTAAGTGCGCTGATAATCTAGGATTATCAAAAGCTGGTCGCGGGGTGTTACTATAAATGGGCGTGTCAATATTCGAGCTGGACCTGGAAAATATAGGAAGCAAACGGAGATGGCAGGTGGTAGAAATAAACAAAACATACATAATGGCGCCGCCTCTGCGCGCCGACCCCAAAATCTCAACCCACCGAAAATCTCTGGATTCCGGCGTTGCGGGTGCCATCTGCAACTTGACTACCAGAATGTCAGCGGCCGGGGATTTTAAAGCAGGGCCAAATAACTGCAAAAGGAAGGAGTCCACCATACGATTTCCACTTCAAAGTAATAGTATCAACAAATCTTGCCTGAGGGTTCTGATTCAAAGTGAGAAGGCAGCTATGTACCTGCCTGGACTTCCATGGCATAGCTTTATAATATCTTCTCGCTGGCTGGGTACTACACTAAATGTCGTGTGTAGCGCGGGCTACAAAGGTTGGTCCCGGATGACACTATTCGGGCCGATTTTTGCACAAGGAAAACAGACGGCAGGGGGGACAGTCTCTAAAGTCGGCGCAAGCAGAATTTGCTGGAGGATTTGGTAGAGGCGCCAAGTTATGCTATCTCAGAATAGACTTGGTATGAAAGTCTCGGCTTTGGGTTCCCCTGCACGATCGTAGGTGATCCTAGCCTTCAAGTTCACTAATCCGTATTGCTTAAACGCACCCCCGGCTTCTGATAGCCACATTTTCATTTCTGCTTCCTTGTTATGGCGTGGCGTGCCCTCTCGTCCAGCCTTGCCCCACAGAGGGTACTTGAGCCTCCAATTAAGCCAAAGTGTCGACTTTGGCTTAGTCGTTCTTTTGGTAGCAAGTGGGTGGATGCTCCTACTACCGAACCGTAACAATTTGCAAAGTTGCCAAGGTAGCCTCGCTGTTGGAAAACAGATCCAGGCCCTGGCAGTGGCACTAGTAGTAAGGGCCATGTTTCAACAATCCGAAAGTGGATTATTTAGTAATCCCGGTCTTCTAGCGACCCCACGCACGGTGGATAATTTCTATGTTTATGCTAAGTGTTACGGCCATGGTCGGGGTCCACCGTGTGGGTCTTGGTCTGTAGGCCAAGGTCTGTGGGCCTTGACCCAGATTTGACCCAGATCGTCACACTAGGGTTGTGCATTTCGTTCGTCTTGGCGGCTTCATTAATGTAAGGAGATCCATCAATGTGGATTTTTAAGGTTATTTCTCTTCTAGGCAACCCCACTTGCCGGCAGCCATCCCTATCCTAGATTTGGGGTGTGGATTTTTAATATACGTACTCCCTTTTCTGCGCACCTCCACATCATCGGTCATCCCTGTCCTAGAACTAGGGTGTAAGTTTAAACAGTGGTGCATGATGTAACGGTCGGCTAGGGTTGACGTCGCACGCGCCTATATGAACCTTAATGTTAAGCCACATATAGTGACTTGGCATCGTACCCTTTTGTGGGTGTGTGGATTGTATTTGGCTGCTGAGAGTTGGGCAGAAGGGGTGGAAATAATGCTACCTATGATCGAATTTCGGATCTACTCATCTCCGTATACAGGCACCCTTCGGAAAGCCTCGCGAAGCTGCATGTAAACACTTTGAGCGCCGGCGGCCTAGTTTGTAACGAGCAATACAATGGTTAGATAGATGGTACGTGGTGATAGTATCAGGTGCAATGGTGATTGTTGTGGCGCGGCGTACCCTCACGGGCAGTCGCCCCACGGAGCCCGGATCACGTGACCTCGCGTGCAACCGTGCACGCGTGCACACAAAACGGATCGCACGCATCTGGATGCTCCGCACCACTTGTTGACTTTTTCACCACTTTGTTCTTTTAGCTAAATTGACGTTTTTCCTCGAGCCTTTGAGCCGTAGAGATCTCAACTGTAACAGTGATGCTGAAACGAGGATCATAGCCGTGCCACACGGACTCACTATCACGTGTCCCCGGTGCGATCCTTAACCGTACAAGCGGCCTGGTGCCCGTGGGCTCTACTATGCGTAACACGATCTTTTAAGCGTCGGGTAGACCCGCCCCTGCGTGAACCCGTGCTTTGCAGTCGGTTATATAACCTTTCCTTAAGCATTTGATCGCAACAAACATATCCAATCTTCGTGAATCAATGAAATATGAACGGTGGCTTCCTCCCTCCCGTTCTAGCTTTAATGTTTGCACCTCGTTCAAGGAGTTCCAAAAACTTAAGGCTATATTTTAATGCAGCCGGCTAATAAATTGCGGTACAGTCGTACATGTTCTTACTTTTACTGAACAGGAAGGCTAAGGGGTTCTCGCAGGGAGATCTCAGAGGTCTAACTTTACAGCAACAGTGCAAGGAGTGCAGAGCCGAGTGTGGGTGTCGTGTATTACCGTCTCTGTCGCTTGCCCTTCCTCCATTTGATTTGCTGGGCAAGGCTCTTTTTTATGTGCTTGCATGTTCCTCTGGAACCTTCCTTGGTCCTTTCTTCTTTCCTAAACCAGAGTGGCCTTCCTTCAATGGCCCTGGACAGTATTACGACTCCCTGTCGATAACGCCGCACAATACTAGTGATCCCGCTTCCGGACAGGTGCATCATTCCTTTTGGCTCCACAGGGATGACGATACTTTCTTTCGAATTGTATACATAAGCTTTCCTCAGGTACACAAATATTTATGGCAAAGCGTAGATTGTCAATATTAACAACGCTTGATTCCAGGGATTTTATATCTTTTTCATGCTCCATAATAATCATTTTTCCCTTGAGCAGCTACAATCCAGCGTGCAGTCGTACATCTGCGCTTCGAGCAATGGCCAAGGGACGCGGATACTTTTAAAAGCGCATTCCAAAACTGGGAGCACGCTCCGCTCTCAGGAAATGCTATCAGCTTCCTGGATGTGGCTCGTTTTACCTTGTCGATAAAAACGCTTAATTCCTGAGGCTGTTGTGTCTTCGCTTTCCTCGTTAACTGGACTCGACAATCGGCATTTGCAAAAGAAACCGCAAGCTTTTGAGATTGTTGGTCGTTATAGCATTCTGGTTCTACATTATCTATAAACCAATCCCAGTTGTAGGTTGCTCCGCGTTTAGGAATCTTCTGAATCTTAATTGCTTTTAAAGCCTTTAGCGCATATTATTGTTATCGTATGTCAATAATTTCGAGCGCTTGATTGAGCTGTATTTCCCGAATAGTATAGTTGGTTTTAGCCAACTGGTAGCGACATCTGCTAGCTTTTTGTGTTCACCATGAAGAAGCTTAATCAATTCGCTGAACAGATTTGAAAACGGAAATGCTTCCAAGAACGTATTTGTACGAACTCGGTCGTTTTGGATTAAGTAATTTACCGAAGTTAATTTTCCTTTTAAAAAAGCTGTTGCTGGCTTTCTAAAAAGCTACTTCTAAGTAATTCACGGAAGCCAATTTGGCTTTTTAGGAAGTGTTACGGAATCACGGAAAACAAAGAGACAAGCTGCGATAGTTGACACATGAAAAGCAACTATCTAAAAGTAATGTCGGAAAGCAACGGAGGTACGAAGCACCGCCGTTGCGTTGCAGAGTTTTCTACTCGCACAACCAGTCAAGTGACCCTCCCAGTCTAAAGTGAAGCAGCCGCCTGCAAGGCGCGCCACTCCACAACAGGAAGCCATTTTTGGCTCTCATTTCTAGGCGGCAGCTAGGCCTACCCGTAGCGAATGGCCTTATCGGCTACCTGTCAGATGTTCCCAGCCATAGCAGCAACGCGCTTTTGCTACGATTGAGCGTTTTGGAGGGTTCGAGCCGGGGGTGAAACACCCCGGGTTGGTATGTAAAATTGATTCCTTCCAAGCGCCTCGAAGCACACAAACTACGTGCTACACCTCTAGATGGGGAGCAAAGTGTGCTGGGGTGGTAATTTAAGGACCATTGTAAACGGCGTCCAAATCCTGCACGTTCATCGAGATGCGACGAACAAAGAGATGCCAATCTGGAGGTCTATATAAGGCTGGTTCACTCTCTTGATAGATAATAGGTGTTGTGGAGTGGTGCGCCTTGCAGGCGGCTGCTCCACTTTAGACTGGGAGGGTCACTTGACTGGTTGTGCGAGTAGAAAACTCTGCAACGCAACGGCGGTGCTTCGCACTTCCGTTGCTTTCCGACACTACTTTTAGATAGTTGCTTTTCATGTGTCAACTATCGCAGCTTGTCTCTATGTTTTCCGTGATTCCGTAACAGTAAAGGAAAGAATCAAGGCTCTTCTGCCATAGCCAGCAGGGGGGTCACGTGATCTCGCGACTCCCACATATAGATACTCTGCATGCAGATCCGGCCCTACGGGCCTTTCCTGCACCGGAAGCAATCCTTTTAGCCACTTTGAACCGCACCCCTACAGGCTCTCACATCTTCAATGCATTCATTCAAATAGCTCCCCTCTAGGAATTATGTTCCCTCCTTCTCTTGGAATTCTGTTCCCTAAACTGTCTTTATATCTTTCCCCTGAAAGCCTGAAGGACATCTCTCCACAGTTGTTGACCCTAGCGATATCCTGAATCCTTGCGCTGCATCCTGAATCCTTTCACTAATCCTGAATCATAGCACATGGGTCCTGTAGATGCCTAGAAAGAGTGCTTTGTGGCTGACACCTTTCTTCTCCTCTCCGGTTTAATATTGACATATGTTACGCGTAGTCAAGGGCTTAAATGCCACGCCCTGACGTTAAAACTGCAGGAGATATTGCAGAACCAGGTGGTGGCAAGCCATCAACCATCTCAATCTGTAGGACATTAGAATAAATTCCCCGCCGGCATACCCGGTTGACCCAACGCATTGGTAATTTGTGTCAACCACTCGGCCAAACTACCCGTTCGCGTGTCCACTGTGCCTTCTAAGCTGCTCAAACGTGTGTTTCTACAAATGTTAGATTTTATTTCCAATGTTTTTTTAATTTATATGGACTTACATTGATTCCAGCTTGTCAACCAGTGGTTGCAACTTTGGCTTGCGTATCTCGTCGAGGAGTTCTTGTAGCAGTTTGGCGATCCTTTGTAGCTCTTCAACCTGCCTATAAAGTGAAAACAGGGTAATTGTTATACTTAAACGTCACCGCTTTACTTTTATTTAAGTAATTGAAAGTTAACGAACCTATTGTCATGGTTGCTTTATAACATATTGTAAGCTAGTTATAATAAAAATCTAATGCAAATTGCAAGCAAATAGATAAAGAAATTCCTTACAAGCTTTAAAATCATTAGCGTTCTTTTCATATATCTAAGGCTCAACAAGCTACTTACAAATCATCGTACGACTCATAGCCTTCAGGAGGCATTGAGTGTCTAAGATGCATTAGTAAACGAAAGTCTTGTCATTCTAAAGCTACTTACGGTGGCCCGCCTTGTGGGAAACATGTAGCCTGATTGGGGCCGGATTGATTAGGGGCGGCTTGATTGGGAGCGGTGTGATTGGCGGCGGCTTGAGTGGTTGTTTGGTTAGGGGGATTGGCGGGATTGGCGGGATTGGCGACTGGGTTGGGGATCGTTGGATTGGCGGATGCTTGGTAGGGGCCGATTTGATTCGGATTTCGAAAACTTCTCAATGCAGGCCAACCATAAGGATGCGGTCGAGGTTGACGGTACATTATCGATAAGTAGCTGAAGGTATGTCAGCCTTTCCTTAGATCGTTTCGTAAAATCTAAACACACAGAGCCAGCATATGAAATACATTATTCACTTGCGTTTTAAGGATTTTATTTCAAAATTTCTCCCATACGGCCGGGTATATAGTTTATCCAGAGGTAAGCGTCCAAAGCGTTTCTGTTTGGCAGTCCCTTATTGCAGAACTCAAGTTTTGGCCGAGGTACCCGGAACGCCAAATTCGACCTTAAATCACCAATCGACAAGTTGTCAAGGATCCCTGGAATGCTAGTTTTGTTTTACCGGGAGGGGGGTGTGACTTTCAACCCTACTACTTCTCTTGGCAGTGGCACTTATGGTCCGGGACCTACTGTTTGTTCGCGGCTGCATTTACACCCCTCAGGGATCGCAACTGTTATTCTAGTGGATCCCGCTAACAGTGCAGAAGGCTGCGACAAAGTGCCAGCACAAACCAAGGTATTCAATTAAGTGGGACTATGGGAAGATACATCCCTTTAGGCGCGAAGCCTCTGCAAGACAAATGGAATAAACAATCCCAATTAGGAAAGGATCCACCAAAAATAACGTTTGTGATCCCTGGCGGGTGCATCGTCATATCCCTGTCCTACTAGGGGGCGGGGGTGTGGGGCGTCTTCGGAAGTGGCACTAATGGGATTGATTCCTGCCAACACTGAGTGAACATGCCGCTTCTTTTGGCTGCTCGCTTAATTTTTGCTAGTGCGAAATGGCTAAATGTTTAATGAACGTCCCATTTTAGCTACATTGCTGGGGTAGCATTATTGTTGCCGTAGAGACTTCATTTTCCTCGGGCGCTTTGATTGGGCACGGCGTTAATCCGTCTACCGGATTGTCCAGCGTCCATCGTCCAGCCCACCATTACATCAAATGGCGCCAATCAGCTTATAATGCACAGGTCGGGTGGAGCCCTCTCTCTTGTGCACCCAATAGCAACGCAACAAACGGAGTGGGTGGAATGCATCCAAGCATCACCAATCAAAACCATTAAAGATGCCAACAATTGTGGACGGAGTCGAGGGAGTAAACGACCGAACTGACCGGAGAGAACGCCTAGGATGGTACAACGGAGTGAATTAGCACATGGTTTTTTGGAATGGCTTCCTAAGATTGGTTCCACAGAATGGAGCAGTGCTCCATGCAGCACTAGGGAGTATTTAAGCAGGCACTGTTGCCCAGGATAGGAATCTAAATTCCTTCCCTTTTCCACAAGTAAATACTGAAAGGGTTTATGCGTACAAGAAGCGCGTAGCGGCAGAATAGCAAAAAAGGTAAGTGCATACATGCTTACACTTATACATGGCAAAAGCACTAGCTAACTGACAGTGATCTGTAGGAAGTTGGTTACGAGGACATTGAACACCTGCGCTCCGCTGTGGTGTCACGGGCTAGCCCGTACCCAGGACCGGAAAGGAAGTTATTCTTTTAAGTGGAGGCTTGTTCTCTTGAGCAGCATCGACAGGTGGAATCTCAGAGCGCCGGCGCGTTGCTTGTTACAGGCATGGCTGATAAGGATTCTTCGCGGAGTGGAGTAAGGTCTGCTGGCTACAGTTCAGGTCAACAGTATGGTCCTGGGTTTAGTGGCTTGACTAGGTCGGCGGAGCGGTGGAGGGACTCTGCTGTAAGCGATAATGACCGGCCTATTTGTGGGCGTAACGTCGCGAAGGATTCTAATTACAAGAAAGGGTCGTAAAATGACCCTCTGCTCCCTTTTATAGAGGGAGCAGAACAAAACGCGGGCGCGTTGCTCGGAGCGCTCCGCGCCGAGTGCGGAGGCCACGCGGCCACGTGCACGGTCCGGTGTGTTGTCCGTCTGGCTCCAGTATGGAGCCCGGATCTGGAGCGTGAATTCTTCCGGACCAAAGTTTTCCTGGCCTTGGATGCCAGTTCCTGTGTGACTGCGAGGTGCCCTTCCAACAGGCCCTTAAACAGGACTAAGCCCCCCTTATAAGTCAGGGACCCCTGTTCCGCACCACCCCTGTTCTGCACCACTCAATTTTAGGCGCACGCACATGATAACACCACCTTTCGACGCCAAAATTACAGCATTTTCAGCCCACAACGATGCAGTCCTGTACCTCCCCCTCATCAGATTCTTCTGCTGATTCTGATGATATACTTTCAGCCTCCTCAAGCCCCTCCCTTTGTCTATAAATCTGGCGCCCGGAAAGAAAGGTCTCATTAGGGTCCGGATGTAACGACTTGCGCTTCCGGGGGCGGGCAGCCTCCAACTGGGCCTCTAAAGAGCTGATTTTTCGCTGATAATCAGCTATCCCGAGGCCTTTCAGGGCAAACCCCTTACGGATCTTCCGGAGGAAAAGCCTCTTTGGTGG